GTTGGACACATAGTGCCCCGTTGGACTAGCCCTTTATTGTTGAACACTTATTTTTCTTAATTAATTTGGTCTTGTGGGAATATATTTGACATATCAGTGCATATTGCTCATGTGTCCTGTTGTGACAAAGTTGAATTATAAATTAAATATTTTTATTTTGGATTTTTTTAATGTTTGTCACTTCCAAAAAAAAATTATTATTATATTAAATCATTATATATATAGATGTATGTGTCTGTGTGTATATATAAAATATTAACCAAAATGCATGTGATGAGGAACATTGTTAGAAATTTTTTAAAGTTATTTTGATTTTAGTAACAAGTTGTCCAATGTAAGGAGTTAACCACACCTCGCATTCAGTTTAGAACAGTTCTCAATAATAAAATAATTGGTACTCGTCTACCTAATACGATAACCACATATATATTTTTCTCACTTGAAATTTGGCAATTCACAGTGAGAGATATACTATGGTCTTGAAAGGGCACTTGGGGAGAGGGATAGCTTAAACGGTTGGCTTGTTGTCTCTTGGTATACTAATGACATCTATTGGCTTATTGACGTGGGATTGGACTCCACCAAGTGATTCTTTATCTCACGTAATTTTGCCCACCCGTTCCACTTTCGTGCCGGAGAAATTGGGATTCGAAACCATGATCATATTGTTAGAGGGGACATGTTCAATATGCATGCTAACTTTATATTTTCTTAATTATTTTAGTCTTAAGAGGGGACGTGTTCGATATGCCAGCGCATATTGTTCATGTGTCTCATCCTATGACGGAACTGATTTAAAATAGAGTATTTATTGTTTCTAAAGTATTTTTCTTAATGTAGCCAGTAGTTTTAATTTTGTAAAAAAAAATATCTTCGACAAAATTCAGACCACTGTTGTAGCATTTTTTATTAGTCTTAATCTTATTGGACACATATTTGACAATGTCATTGTATGTCACTCACATGTTGGCCTTATTTGTGTACAAATAATTTAAATTTAAATTTCTATCCTTCTCTTCATCTTTCTATATTACTTTAATCTTATGGGAACATGTTTGACATGCCAGTGCATAAGTTGCTTGCTGTACAATTCCATTGCTTGTCGCTCGCATGGCACCTGTCCCACAAAATATAATTAAAATTCTTTCTCATAATCTCTCTCTTTGTGACATCCAAAAATCACAATTGAGAAAACACACGGTAACTTTGTAATGTTTTTAATTTAAAAATGCCAGTGCGTATCGTTCATGTGTATCATCCTGCAACGGAACTAATTTAAAACAGAGTATTTATTGTTTTCAAATTATTCTTCTTAGTGTTGCCCATGGTTTTTACGTCAAAAAAACCAAATTCCAAACAAAATATGGGCCAACTTTGTAGCATTTTTTTTTTTTTTTTTTTTTCATTAGCCTTAATGTTGTTGGACACAATTTGACACTACCATTGCATGTCTCTCACGTGGCACTTGTTTCGTTTCAATTTTTTATTGAAACCATAGATAGGATAAATCCATGCTAAGTTTATATTAGTCTTTGTGGGGACATGTTTGACATGCCAACGCATATGACAATGCTGTTGTATGCCACTCATGTGGGCATGTCATAAAAGCCAGATATAAAATAAAAATTTAACCTTCTCATAATCTCTCTCTTTATAACACCCAAATCATAATTGAGAAATACAAGATAACTCTACATTTTTCTTAATTAGTATAGTTTTAGAGGCGACAAGTTCAATATGGTAGCATAGATTGCTAAAGTGTCTCATTTTATGGCAGAAGTGATTTAAAATAGAGTATTTATCGTTTCCAAAGTATACCTCTTAGTGCTGTCCATGGTTTGTACTTCTATACAAGATACAAGATAAAATTCTGACTAATTTTGTAATATTTCTGTTCTTCTTTTTTCTAGTTGATACTCACCCCCCCACCCCACCCCCGTTACAGTTGGTATTAGAGCCGCCGGCGAGTTTGTGTCCCATGTTATGTCAAAGTTGATTTAAATTTTTCTTTATTTTGGATTTTTTTTAAAAAATGTTTATCACTTTCCAAATTTTCTATTATATTATGTTATTATATGTGTGTATAATATATATTATTATTTTTATTATTATATGTGTGTATATTTATTTATTTTATTATTATTTATTTTTCTTACTTTTTCACAATCCTCTTCCTACCCTATGCCTTCACCTGAAACCACTATAATCTGAACTCTGAAGATGGTTTTCATCCTATAATCTGAAAATGGTTATGTCAATCACATTCCCATAGCATATAAGAAACCCATTTTCTGTCGAGGTCTCGTCTCCTATACCTAGAAGAACAACTAGGGTTTCTCTATCACTGGTGCTTAAAATCTGTTCCGTCAAACACGAATTACTACTACTTTCATCTCCATTGGAATTGTGCTTGGTGCAAACTTTCCTCTCAAAACAATGTGATATCTTCAGATTCAACACCAGATCATTTAGGTAAGATTTTTGGCAATTAATGTTTCCCCAAAACACATTTTTCTTTGCTTCTATTTATTGAAGTATTACTATGTCATTGCTAGAAAATATAATTGTTCCATCAAATGATATAATTGTTGGGAATGGTTCATTGGTAGAATTGACATGGCACACTAACAGTTTGATGATTTGCTTCAATGAGATCTTTCTCTATATCTGTGCTATTGAAACTTCTCTTGAGATTTGTGAATATAAAATCTTCCATCTTGTTATGTCTATTTCCTTTACAGGGTGTTTCTCTGTACAGGTTAGACTGTTAGACCCGAGTTCGTTAGTCTGCTTGTACTGAAGTCCTACAATGTACATCCCCCTCCTCCTCAAATGAAACCACAAAAAAAAAAGGGGATATAGAAGCTTGATATTACCTGCTTAAAATAATCGCGAAGCCTTTTAATCTCAACATGAACATTTTTAGATTAGAAAAAAGGCTAGCTCAGTACATGAGGCTCTCAATATTATAGGGTCTGGAGAAAGTCAGATGTACACAGCCTTACCTCCACATGCGGAGAGGTTGTTCTAAATATTGGGAAGACAGTTAATCCCAAATGTAATGACAAAAAGTGAAAACACGCACACTATAAGCTGAGTCATACATACAAAGACACAAGCAAATTTATATATTTGCTCCGTTATTAGTTTATTTTGAGATGCATGAAGCTGATGCTTCCATCTCTGGAAAGAATGAGTGAGTGGTAGGTTGTGACGTTCCACATCGCCCGTGGGGAGAGGTTGTTGTCACTTTTATGTGTGGACTCCTCCTAACTGTGTAGACATGTTTTGAGAGCACGGAGAGTGCGCAAAACGGACAGTATCTGCATAGGTCATGGTAGATGGTATTAGAGGTAATCCCCAACCACAAATGGGAGGAGCATGCACAAGCCCATGAGGGTTAGGCCAGAGAGGACGCTGGGTGCCAAGAGGGGTTTGGGGGAGAGGTTGTTGACACTTATATGTGTGGACACCTCCTAACTGTGAAGACGTGTTTTGAAAATTGTGAGCACGGATAGTGTGCAAAGCGGATAATATCTACACAGCGGGACTGGTCATAACATTGGCGCACACACGCCTTCAAGTAAGAGAAGACCTATGAGGCACTCCTTTCCTCTCTCGCTTTCTCTTCCCTGTTATAGCCTGTGTGCCTTCTTCATCTGGAGGTGGACTTTGGACAGCAAGAAAGGGAGGTTCAGTTTCATTTTCCTTTCTTGAAAAAGCTTCAACCTGCAAATTTTGATTTCAATTTAAAAAAAAGTCAATAGATTCTTGAACAAGGGAAACAATGATAATGAACTAGTCATATCTCGCCTTCTTACCTTGCATGCAGTGGAGCAGTAGCGGTTGGCATTTGGGTCGAGTAATTTCCTGTGGCACACCTCACATGCTGCATTCACATCTATTTGTGAACCACTGTGTGGCAGAGGATTCAGAGATATGACCAACTGCTTGTTGCATTTGTAGGTCTGCAATAACAAAGGATGGCAGATGTAGTCAGGAAGAAAAAGAGACCTATAAAGTTAAGATTGAAAATGTTTGATTGAATCAATAGTTAGAAACCAATAAATGATGGCATCCACACATCATAATCCAAGAGATGTTTCATTTAACGGAAGTGCATGACAACTATTTCTTGTTATGTGAGGGTGATGTTATGTTAGTCCTTTATGAACAAAAGCAAATCTTATCAATTATAGAATATTAAAGTAAACTAAATAAGGTCAAAGTTACTTTAAATATTTGAAACTATTACTTTTTAATTAAAGAATTTGTACCTGAATTTTAGAACAATCAATATGCTTCTCCATGTCGCTAATGGGGACAACATCCTTGTAGGTATGTCGATAAATTTTTAGTACCTTGTGTTGTCCATGAGTACCCCAAGAGATACAGTGCCGGCAGGCAGGTAACTTGCAGGTGATGCAATACTTATTCAACTCATTTTTGCTGGCTTCATGAATCGAACAAGAGCTGAAGAAGGTCCGTCGCAGAAATGGCTGAAGCCAATCCGACTTTTCCTTCTTATGTTGGACTGAACCTTCATCCTGCAAAATTAGTACTTTTTAGTGAATCAATACCAATGACTAAGATGATTAAAACGCTACAGGGCATAAGGCAAACTGAGAGTATGTACAATAGTGTCTAGTAAATGATGTTATTTATTGTTCCCAGAAAGTATTGTGTAGTAAGTTGTGTTTCTGTGTTTCCCATTTTCTTGTTATTGGAATTGCAGTTTGACTGCCTTGGGAATAGGAAAACTTATTGGTAATTTAGAAGTGTCAATATTATGTAAATGTTGACAGTTAACAAAAGGATGAAGTGTCTTACCTTGATGGCGGAATATGATTATGCATGAAAATGAAATTTTTTGTGCCTTTGTTGGACTCGATTTAGGTTCCAAAAGTTGTTTCTCTATGTGTTTAAAGTTGGATTACAGTTACAATTTTTTTTTTTTTTTTTTGAAGATGCTCATAAGTTGCTTTATTCTTTCTTTGTAGTGGAAAAGAGTGTGGAAGCTAGAGGGTGGCATCAGCTAAATGCAAGTTGGTATTGATAATTTCTTTTCAGTGGAAAACTAATTACTACTTCTAAATGAAAGACATGCTATTTGATGCTATTATTAAATCAATAATTAAAGATATTAAATATTATTGTTCCTATGATTCAGAAGGATTATATATCAATTTAGACATTCTTGTATTATTGACCTGTTTTGGGAATTGCTCTTATATTATCTTTTCCAAAGCTTTGACCATTTGGTGTTATTAGATATAGAAAATATCTAGTCTGTGAGATCCCTTGTGTTTAGTGTTCATACTTTTGGTTTGTATACTGTGGTTGGTTCAGAATTTGGCTTCAATTTCTAGACTAATGTAAATATTAAGTATCTTACAGTAACTAAGGATTAGACTTTTAGTCCACTGCAAAGTTGATGAAGCCTCTTTCATACCAACTTCACTAGTCGCTGCTAAATCACGAAATTCACGGTATTTTCTTTTACTAGCTTTGGAATTTATTTTTGATGGATTATTCAAGTTAGTTAATGAATCAATTTGTCTGATAGTTCTGTCTAATACCTCTTTATCTTTTAGAAAGGAAAAGGAATATTATGCGGCTAGTTAGCATTATTGTTTGATTCTAATAATAGACAAATACATGAATTAATTTGAATTAGTTGATGAAGTGATATATATTTTTCAACTTCACATACTGGTCCATGGTTGAAAAAAAATTAGAATTTTAAAATTAATGTTGATATAGTTTCATAAAACATTTTAATTAAGTATTAAACCATTTGCAGACTAAACCTTAGAAAATCATGATGTTCAAATCATAATAATACTAGGTCTAAAAGAATACAAATTTGAAGATGAAGCCTTTGTAGATCTATATACACATTTAAAAGCAAGTCAAAATGGTTCATTTCAACGAAATCTAAGTTATATGCATTAACATAGAAAAGGATATCAACATTTTAATTTGTCTTTTGGAAGATTTTTTTAACCCTTCATATTAGGATATATAGGCTAAACTATGACAAGTAAACTGATCATTTCTAAAAGGAAAAAGAAATTGAGAAAAATAACATTTTTGGTATAATAAAGTGTTCATCTCCTTTAATCTAGTTTTTGTAACAGAATGAATTACAGTCTTAAACAATGAAAAGATATTTGGAAAATATCTGATGAAGATTTCAAAAGGAAGATATGAAATACTTGAGTTCACATACCTTACTCATCTCTTCTTGCAAGTTAAAATGGAATATGAAGTGTAAGTTTCTTTTTCCTTTCTTCTCTCTCTATCAGTCTCGAAGCTTTGAACTAGGACTTGAGAATGAAGAACCAAAGACCACTAGACCATATCTAAAATGTAAGTTTACACTTTCTCTCTTTTTATTGTTCAAAAATGGAGGCTGTGAAGTTACTTTAAGTTATTTAAGTTCAATGCATGTATGGCTTTGAGAATTGTGGACCATTAAGTTTTTGCATTTGCAAAATTTATGTCATGGTTGTGTTAAATTTTTACTTATTGTTATGCCTATCACATCATCGTAGTGTAAATACTTTCATAATTATTTATTTATATAATCTTAGATTCATAATAATAATAATAATAAATATCACATTTATAATATAAATGTCTGAAAAAATAAATTTCCTTTATCCCCTTGTTTTATAGTTTAAAAATGGAGAGAGTGAAAATATGACAATTTAGTTCGACACATCAATGATTTTGAGGTTGCAAATACATTCCCATTTGCAAATGGAAATCATTTGTCTTAGATGTGCAACTATTATTATGGTTATTGATATTATCATAGTGTAAATGCATTCATAAATATACCTATGAAAGCATTTATGACCATATTATGTGTATAACCATAAAAATAATTACTTACCATAATACTAATTACTCCTTTCATCCCATAATGATGTTCACCCTTTAGGACTCTAGGTTTTTAATGGAGCTGTCATTATATGCATTACGCCCTTTTAAATTTAGAAAACTAATTGAATTTTATTTGAACATCTACTTTACTTTGTTGATTTGAAAAGATTTTCAAAACTTAAGGATAATTTGGGGAGGTTGAAATTTCGAACATCAAACATCTTAGAAATGAAAGTGGACATTTATTTTGGAACATCCCAAAAAGGAAACATCCACTTTCCTTTTTAAGATGCATTTAGTGCATTGTCTGAATGCCTTCATAAATACTTATGAAAGTAATTTTTACCATATGATATATTAAAAATAACACTAATTACTTGACATAATACTTTCTTGATTCTAATTTAGTAGTCCATTTTTCCTTTTTTGGTTGTCCCAAAATGCTTATCCTATTTAAAAAGTCAAAGTGAGATAAATTCATCTTTATGTAAATTTCCTTTTAGGTTTTCAAAAAATTTCAAACAATTTTAAAAGGGGATAATACACTAATTGCATGTTCCCTTGAAAAGTTATAGAATTAAAAAGGGACTATTAACCTGGGATAGAGGGAGTATTAATTACTCTTACCTCTCCATAATAAATATCACTCTTTGAAATTCTAACTTTTTTAAAGAACATGCATTTAATGCATTGACCCTGTAAAAATTACAAAACTAATTGAAAAAAATTTAAACATTTCTTTATTGATTTGAAAATATTTTCAAAACTTAAGGATGATTTGGAAATTTTGAAATTTGAAGCATATATTTATTTTGGGAATGGAAACATCCACTTTCCTTTTTGAGATGCATTTAGTGCATTGTCTTAAATTTGCAACTACTATTATGGTCATAGACATTATCATAGTTTTAATGCCTAAGAATTTTTTATATAACCAAAACTCATTACTAACCACAATACTGCATGTGTCCCATTTAATAGTCCATCTTTTCTTTTTTGGTTGTTTCAAAATACTTGTCCTATTTGCAAAGTAAAAAATGGACAATGTTTGTCACTTTGAAAAGTTGGAATCTTGAAAAGGGACACAATTAAATTGGGACATAGGGAGTATATTTCTTTCCGGGAGACCTGTTGACCAAATTGTATAAAATAATAATTTTTTCCTTCATTATTTGTAATATAACATATTATTATAATATAAGTGCATTATTGACTTTTCACACTTATAGTTACTTTTCGGCCGCTGGCGAACGGGTTTAGGGAAGGTCAAAGTAATAAACGTTGCCCAAACCTCAGGGGAGGTCAATGTAATTTATCCTAAAATAAAATGAATAATTTTTTTTTTCTTTTCATTGGCAAGAAAAACACACACCCATTTGGCCCTGCGGGGACTTGAACTATCACCATCCACTTTGGGAGGTAGAGGAGATACCACTAGGCCACAAGGCCCTTGGTAAATAAAATGAATAATTGAGGTTCAAAATTTTAGAGAAAGAATCATACACAAAAATTAAATTTTCTTGTAAGAGTAGCAACATTTGAACTCAACCGGAAATTTCTATCTCTAATTTGTTAATAGAGAAGTAAAACCTCTTGGTCTTTCTGTTATCTCTCTCCAGCTTTTATGCCCTATAGCTCTGTCTTCTAAATTTTATGTTCTTCGCCAAATATTTCTTTTGTTGTTAACCATGTGATTTATTCTATATTATAACTAGATTGAACAAGGAGTGGTCCAATGCAAACATTATGATTCATTCTACTGTCATTTGCATTCTCCTTTCAATTTTCTTTGCCACCCATGTCTTAGGTTGAGGTTCAGAGATGGCTATTTCTTGATTAATCGGCTTACATTCCATGTTGTTCATCATGATTTCTTGTTTGAATGATTGTTATATTCCCTATATTCATGGCCAATTGAACAGTACATGACATGAGAAATTCCTTGAATGCTCATGTAACTGTTGTCCATTTAGATGCACCTCAACGTATCCCACTACGTAACCGTTGCCAAGGCACTGAAAGAAAAGAAGAGCCACAGATGCCCCACTCATTTATCCATCGATTCAGGTACTCTTACAAATTCATTCATTACTGCAACTGTAGCAATATGAAAATAGGAAAAAAAGTGGAAACACATCCATATATTCTGGCATTTCGTGGCAGGACAATAACTTCTGCCTGCTTGTGTGATAGACAAGGTGACAAAGTTATGCATAAAAGCAAGTATCTTGACTCAGTTCAAATGCTTGGGTGAATTCAAGGGTCGAGAGATTTGTTTTCCATGTCTAGAAAAATCACCAGGTTTGTCATTTTTTTTCTCAAACTCTTATTCAGGTCAAAATGATGTCAGGTTGATAAATTTGCCATTTTTTAGACATTAGACATGTTGAAGCTTAATCTGCTTGACATTTATAATTATGTGGTAAGGGTACACCTGACTCTGTTGCCTGTATTAAGGTCCTACAATATTCACCCCCCTTCTCCACAAATTAACCATGGAAATGCTACTAATATATGCTTAAAATAATTGTAAAAGGAGAAAAACTACGCAAATGCAGTTAAAAGAAAAAACACACCAAAGCACATCCATGAGAAAAGACACATCAAACCAAAGTCATATTTCAAGGTCCATCATTGGTTTGGCTTGAGCTGCTTTCAGACGATGCTTCCATTTCCAAATACGATGAGTGAGTAGTAGGCACACTCTAATCTTCAGAAAACAGGAGATCTTTTGAGGATCCTTTTTGCACTACACCTGCTTATTGTCTAAAATGTTCCCACCTGAAAGGAAAATTAACTGATATATATATATATATATATATATATATATATATATATTTATAATGGAGCATAAGCCTTGTGGTCCGAAGGTATCAATCTTGTTCTTAGCTCCTATTTGGTCCTAATGTTAGATTTAGAGTTCGTGATGGCAGTCGCGTTCATTTTTGGGAAGATCTTTGGTGTGGACATCAGCCTTTATGTCGTACTTTCCCAAGATTATTTAGTATTGCAGTTGATAGACATGCCACCGTAGCTAACTGTTATCAGCTTGATAATAGTGCAATTACGTGGAATGTTCTTTTTCGGCGTTCTTTTCAGGATTGGGAGTTAGATGATGTGAGCATTTTTTTGGATCAATTGTATTGGCAGGAAGGAATTGGTAAGGGTTATGACAATTTGATTTGGATTCCCTCTTCTCACGATCATTTTGAAGTAAGGTCTTTGTTCTTATGTTTGTCTAATTTTGCACCCTCTGATTTTCCATGGAAGATTATTTGGCGTTCTATGGCTCCTACTAGGGTGGCTTTTTTTGTATGGACCGCCGTTTGGGATAAGATTCTGATGATCGATAATTTGAGGAAAAGGGGAAATTATTTTGTTAATTGGTGTTGCATATGTAAGCAGAATGGGGAGTCAGTTGATTATCTCCTAATGCATTGTTCTGTAGCGCACTACTGTTGGAATCTTATTATTGGGCTTTTTGGCATATTTTGGGTAATGCCACGTTCTACTAAGGAGCTGATTCATGCTTGGAGAGGTTGTCGTGTGAGTAGAAGTATTCGTGATTATTGGAGATCTGCACTGCATTGTATTTGGTGGTGCATTTGGAGGGAGAGAAATAGTAGAATGTTTGAAGGAAATGAGTCGTCTACAGCGACACTGAAACTTTTTATTATTCGTTCTCTCTTCAGTTATGTGAACAGAAGTTTCTGTTCCTCTTCTGTTGATTTAATTTCTTTTTTGGATTCTTTGGGGCCTTAGTTCCCGGTTTCTTTTATGTCTATGGGACGCGTTCCCCTATTGAACGCCTTTTTTAATTTATTATTACTTATCAAAAAAAAATTTGGTCCTCAGGCAAGTCTATTTCCTTTGCTGGGTGGTTCTCTTTACGGTTCAGGAATTTGCAGTAAGGTTAGACCTGATTCAGTTTGCTTGCACTGAAGTCCTACAACATACACACCCCCTCCTCAAACCAAACCACAAAAAGAACTCCATTTGAATTATTTGCGGTCCATATCAGTACGAGTACAGAAATTTACAGTCTTACTTTTGAAGATCAAGAAATTCTAGGGAGATGTAAGAATAATTACCAATTGGACCCTTAGCCCGAGAGAGGGAGGGGGGGAGGGGAAGGAAGAGAGAGAGAGAGAGAGAGAGAGGGATATATACGCTTTATCTTACCTGCTTAAAATAACTGCAAAGCATTTCATCTCAACATGAACATTATTAAGATAAAAAAAGGGGCTAGCCTCGCGAGACTTCTACGATTGCAGGGTTTGGAATGCATCAAATGTATGCAGCCTTACCTCCACGCGTGGAGAAACTTTTCTAAATATTATATAGTTATACAATCCCAAATAGAATGTCAAAAAGAAAAAGAAAAACATACACTATAAGGAGAGTCATACATAGAAACACACACAAGATGAGTAATATCTAAGTTCCATTATGATGAGCTGCTGGAATCTGATGGTTCCATCCCCAAACAGAACGAGTGAGAAGTAAGCACCCCAAGCCTTCAGGTAAGAGGAGACCTAGAGGGCACTCCCTTTCTCTCGCGCTCTCTCTTCCGTGTTGTCGCTTGACTGCTGCCTTCATCTGGAGGTGGTCTCTGGATAGCACGTTAGGGAGGTTCTCCACCTGCAAATTTGGATTTTCAATTGCAAATAAAGTCGCTATATATTTGAACAAAGGAAACAATGAGAATGAACTAGTCATGTCTTGCCTTCATACCTTGCATTCACATCTATCTGTGAAGTGCTTTGCGGCAAAGGGTTCAGAGTTATGACCAAGTGCTTGTGGCATTTGTATGTCTGCAACAACAAAGAATAGCAAATCTAGTCATGGTTAATCTAGTCTCTCTCTCTCTTCTATCAAGAATCAAAGAGAGAGAGATGAGGTTGGATCCTTTAGGGCAAGATTGATCCAAGGATGATTTAGTCAATTTGTGAGCCTAGGGTCAAATTTGATGCCAACCAAATATTCTTGAAGGGACCATGTTTAGTCCTTTAGAATGTAAGCAATGGAGTGCGGGTAGCAAGAATGACCCTTACCTTGATTCTTTCTTCTTGTCATTGGAAGGACTTGGGCCAAATTTAGTACTCAAGTGTACAATGAACATACGATCTAACTAAAATGTAATGTTTTTCCGAAAAGGGTCAGATATATTCTTACCTTCACATGCGGAGAAGCTGTTTCTCGTTCTGAATTCATGAGCATAGGTCATAATAAAACCTTATCGTTGCGTCAAGACCATCACTCATAAGCTAAGAGAGAGAGAGAGAGAGAGAGAGAAAATGTGAGATATATAGAAGGAGATAAAAGCTATGTATGTTAAGGAGGGTAAAGGGGTAGAGTTTAACCCTTTCCATACTAACTTTATATTATTCTTGTGTGAAAGATGTTTTTATATTTGTTGTACAATACCATTGCGTGTCACTCACGTAACACGTCCTATAAAAATAGATTTAAAATTAAAATTAAAACCATTATCATAATCTCTCTTTATAATGCCGGAGAATCATGAATGAGATATAAAAGCTAAATTAATATTTTTATTGACTATTTTATTCATAAAGGGGACGTGTTCAATATGCCAGCACATATTGCTCACGTGTGTTATCCCCAGAATTTTTTTTATTTTTTATTTTTTTCTTAGTTGGTACTCACACACACATGCCTCCACTGAGGCTTGAACCCCTGACTTCCCTTTGGAAAGTAAGAGCCTTATATTGTTTTTGAAGTGTTCATCTGTTGTTACCCATGGTTACTTGAAAATCATATCCTTATCATCAGTATCCTTGCCTTTATTCTGCACAAATGAGGTCAGCCACCTAAATTCTCTTAAAAACCATACAACGGACAAAATTCAGACCAATTTTGTAGCAATTTTTTATTAATTTTAATCTTGTTAGACATGTAATGACAATGCTGTTGCATGCCACTCAAGTGACTCTTGTATAAAAGTTGTTCAAATATAAATTTCAATCCTTCTCATCATGTCTGACATGCTAGTGCATATGATGCCGTTGCATGTCCTTCATGTGGCACATGTCATACAAAAATTGATTTAAATTTAAAATTTTAACGGTCCTTGTAATATCTCTTTATGACACCCAAAAATCATAAATGACAAATACATGCTAATTTTATATTTTTCGGAAATACATGCTAATTTTCTTAGTTATTATAGTCTTAAAGGGGAAGTGTTTAATATTCATAGGACTGATGAACTGATTCAAAACAATGTATTTATTGTTTTCAAAGTGTTATGTTGCATGTGGCACGTCATACAAAAATTTATTTAAATTTAGAACTTTAACCGATTTCATAATCTCTCTTTGTATAACATCCAAAAATCATAAATGAGATATAAATGCTAATTTTATCTATTTCATAATTATTATTTGTATCTTAGAGGGGAAGTGTTCAATATATATATATATATATATATATATATATATATTTATGGGGGAATAAAACCTAGGATCAAATAGGGTGGGGGGCACTTTAGGCTTGGCACTTTTACCACTCGGGCAACACCGCCACACCTAATGCCAACATATATTATATTGTTCACTTATCTAACAGAACTGATTTAAAACAATGTATTAATTGTTTTTAAAGTATTTGGGTTAATTACACTCACACCCCCTCAGGTTAGGTCGAATATTACCTAGATGAACATTTTGGTTTTAACTTTCACTCATATTTGGAAGAGTGTTTTTGTATGTCACTAACACCCCTAAATGTCAGTTTTCAGTGGTGCCAGAGTAGTTTTACGTGTAAAATGACGATACTACCCCTTTTGACTAGTTGAAGACTTACAAAATGATATTTTAATTTTTGCATGACAAAAATACCCCCCAAATGATCCAAAACTGATCTGTACAACACCTCCATCACCCCCACCATCACTGCTGCCCCCACCCAACACCTCCATCACCGCCACCCATCACCCAACACCTCCACCGCCCCCACCCAACTCCTCCATCACTACCACCCTGTGAGTAGACAAGTATTGTCCTCGATGAAAAATTTATATAAATATATCATTAGGGGCGGAGTCAGGATTGCAAAGTAGACTGGGTTAAGAGGAAGAGTAGTATTGCATATGGACCGAGTTAAGAGGAAGAGTAGTATTGCATATGAACCGGTCTTAGCGGTCTATGAACAGTAGGACTAAATTTTTTTCTTTGGATCTGGGCTGTTAGCCCTTCAGTAGCTCCGCCCCTGTATATCATCTTTCTTTAATATTATTTTTTCCCTAATGCAGCACAAGCCTTGTGGTCTAAAGGTAT